GGTCCCTTCCATCTCCCTGATTCATGCAGTGCAGAGGGGACCAGCTCTTGCTTCTCCTTGCCCACTTGATCTTGGCTGCAGCCAGAGCTGCTGGGCACGCTGGGCCTGATGGAATGCCTCGCAGCCCGGCTCCCGTGGGAGGCCGGGCATCCTGCCCTTTTGCAGAGCTGTAAGCACTCACTCACCCAGGCAGGCCTCACCATGGCCTTTGTTACTGCTCTCCGGGAAACCTTTGTGTGGCTGCTAGAGGTGGCACAAGGCTGAGCGCCCTGACAACTCTGTTTGGGAGACTCAGATGCCACCTCCCCCAGAGCCTCTCCACGCCCCAGGCCTTTCCCTCCCCTGGCGGCAGGCTTTCTCAGGGTCAGTGTTCTGCTTTTCTTTCACCAGGGCGCCCACTGTGCTGCGGGCCTGTTTGAGCTGCCCACAGGGCAGCGCTGAGATAAAAAGACCTGGGCCTGGGCCAGCAGGGAGGCAGCTTCTGGCCCCAGAGACCAAGGAACAGAAGAAAGAGATGTAAATGAACGGCCAAGACATGAAGCTATTGGCTGGTGGCCAGGAAAGCAGCCAATAGAAGGAGGTGGGAGAGTCACGAAGAGGGGCAAGGGCAAGGGGGTAGCAGTGTGGCCGGACTGGGCGAGAGTGGCAGCTGGTCATTCTGCTGAGAAATGGATTCAGCAGAGAGAAGGGGGCCCAGTACCCACGGATCTTGATGCTGTAGAGAATGTCCAGCTACTTCTTACCTCTGTATGTCCTTGGCAAGTGACTTCACTTCTTTGTGCTTCCATTTCCTGCTCTTTAAAATGGGGACAGTAATAACACCCCCTTCCAGGGTTTTTGCAAGGATTAAAAAAGCTCATGTGTGTAGAACACCGGGAAAGGATGCATGTTAGCAATCGGGTCACCTGGGTCCCTGGCTGGGTCAGGATCTTACAGGGACCACCTGATGCTTTCACAACTTGTTTTCCTTCACTCCATGTACCTTTTGTTTTTCCCCTCATGGAACTCATCTGTAATTTGCTCAGGCAAATTTCTTCACCTTCAGATTGCTCAAAGCCTTTCTGTCCTTTTCCATGTACATTCATTGAAGTTTACCAAAGATGGGTCTCCAGTACTGGGAGTTCAGGGCATCATGGAAGAGGGAGATCTACACGTCATTGATGGTGACACCTTCTCCCTTTAATGGAGTGACTGACTGGGGGAAATTTCATTGGTTTGCCCGGTCACTACTTGGCTTCCACTGCACTTCTGCTGATGGTGGTGTTAACGTCCAACGAAATGGAAAGAGGCCAGGCAGGCAGAAAGAGCAAGCAAGAGCCAAATAATCCCTGAGTTCTGATCGTTCTCCAAGTCATTGCGATGAATTTTCCTGATTCGCGTTAATATGGGGGCACACAGTTCCCAGATAATTGTATAAACACAAGGATATGGTCTAAAGGTAACAGATCCTTCCTTAAATTCAACCCACCACCTCAGCAATGCAAAGGTCTGATTGCCAAAAGGACATCCCTCCTGGAAGTGAGCCACACATCTCAAGCCCAGTGGCCAAAATAGGACTCTCCATTCCTGTGCTTCTGCCTCTGTTTCCTCTATCAGTTAAACATCACATCAGATCACTTACTCAGCCAGAAACACCACAGGACACTCCTCTTCTCCTCCTCCCACATATCCCTCCCCGTGCCTGGGGGCTCCTGGACCTGTCACCATGTGCCTCCTAAAGAGTCCATGACTCTGTGCCTCTTCTATTTAGCCACCGATTCTGTCAGCATCCATAAATATGCCGTGCAACGTCCACTCCCACTCAGGTTCATAGCTTGGAACAAGTCATTTGCTTTGCCCCCTGCACCTAGAGTCAGAGAATCCAGACCGGAATGAGCCAGATGGCTCTTACCGTGTCTCTGGCGTCTGAGAGTCATGGGATCAAGACTGGGCTCAGCTAGGGTGACAGCTCCATGTGTGTCTCATCCCCCTCCTGGCACCAGCAGGCCAACCAGAGCATGTTCTTGTGGAAACAGCAGAAGCACAGGAGGTCAGCCAAAACACATCACGACTCACTTTCTCTGCCAAACCTAAGCAAGTCATCTAATCCCAGGTCAAAGAGTGGGGAGTACATGTCACATTATTTAGTAGGAGGAACTATAAAGTCACATGACTAAGAGTGAGCATACAGGTAGGTCACAAAGCTCAGGCCAGTTATGCAGCCTGTGGCCAGGACTTTGTTATCCCTTGTGGGGACTCTTTGCTGACCCCTTAGCTCTTTATTTTACCTGTAGTTAGCCTCCTCCCTGACTTGATCCTGACACCCTTGTGTTGAAATCTTCCGTCACCCACCCAACTGAGCTGACGCCCCGTACAACTTGGCTCCGGCTCGGTTTTCCAGTGGCATCTGTTGCCATGTTTCAGAACGACTCGCCACCCCCTTCCAAATGTGCTTGTTTTTTTGTACAGTTTTGTACCTTCATTCCCAATCTCCCTCTTCCCACAGGAATCTCTCCCACATTTGAGGTTATTGTAAGTGCGATGCCGTTTACCCTTCAAGATCCAGTTCACATGGTGCCTCCTCTAGGAAGCCTTCTCGGGAGTCCTGGAGAGAGAGAGTTGCTCTTTCCTCTCTCAGAATCACATCATCATGCTTAATTCTTCCCCAGAGAGAGGGAAGGAGAAAGGGGGACAGTTTAATTAATTCC